AACTTGGGCGTGTGGAAGAAAAAGTCGATAATAGTAGAGCATGCCATTAAAACGGCGAATAGCGCCTAACGTAACCTGGAAAGGAACGTCTCTGATGACGCTCTTCTGTCGTTTAGAGGCAGTATGCCATAGTGCTCAATATGGTGGCCAAGAAATTTGACGGAAGGCTGTTGAAATACGCATTTGTCAGGGTCGATGGTGGTGCTATTAGCGGCCAGCCTATGGAAAGGAATTTTGATATGTTCTGCGTGTTGTTCTTTAGAAGCGCTGGCAACTAGGATATCGTCGATGTATGGATAGACGAAATCTAGACCTCTAGTGACTGAATCGATGAATCGTTGAAAAGCCTGGGCTGCGTTTCAAAGACCGAACGCTATACGCAAAAATTCGAAGAGCCCAAACGGCGTGGTTAAGGCAGCTGGTGCTACGCGCGAACCAGCTCGATGTTCGAGAACACCCGGGAGCAGCGCAGGCTTGCCGTGATGTCCCGAATATGAGGAATAGGATAGCGGTCGGGAACAGTAACGTTATTGAGGGCGCGGTAATCACCACATGGACGCCAGTCTCCAGACTATTTGGGCACCATGTGGAGTGGCGACGCCCACGTGCTTTTAGACGGGCGAACGATGCCGAATGCTGCGCGAGCACTTTTTAGCTTGTCAGGGGTCATTCGCCTGGCTTTGGAGCAAACAGGCGGACCTTTGGTAAGGATATGATGTTTTGCAGCATCAGTGGCGGATGGAAACGGTGCCATTGCCCGGAAGACGTGGGAAATTGCTATTAAGCATATGACCGATAGGTGAGCTTGACTGGTTGGCTTATACAGGACTGATTGACTTAATGTCGGTCAAAATACCTATAACTGCCAGATTGTTTGACGGTCGATCAGACGGCTTTGCTTTGCGTCAACTAGTAGCTACTGCTGCTGAACTGCTACCAATCCCGCACTGAAGATGCCACCTCCCTTGGTGGCGAAACGGCTGTAAAAATGTTGCCCAGCTCGGAGGACTCTACAACAACTGAGCAAGCCTCCCGAGCTACCAGTATTCCAAATCATTTCAAACATTCCATCGTTATGCCACGGCATAAAGGTGGAAGCCTACAGGAAGTTGTTAACTATCGCCCTATTAACTACACTTCCATTATCTCGTGGGTGATGGAGAAGTTGATTAAAAGAGTCCTTCTGCGTCATCTTTATGCAGGCGAGCACATAAATGAACCACAACACGGATTTCTAAGTGCTCGGTCTTGTGCAGCCTGTCAGCTGGACTTCCTTAATTTAGTCACTGAGGCCATCGACTCTAAGCTTTCAGTTGTCATTCTTTACCTTGATATGCAAAAGGGGTTTGACAGGGTACCACACATGAGCCTGATGTATAAGGTAAAGGCTTACGGGGTAGACAGCCCTCTATTAGACTGGCTGGGTTCCTATCTAATAGGACGTACGCAGTCTGCTAAGATTGAGCAAACTGTATCCACCCAGACCTCCGTCCCCATTGTCGTGGTGCAGAGGAACGTGCTTGGTTCTACCCCATTTTTACTTTATATCAATGACCTCTGCAGGAGTTTGCAGTACAGTCACTCATACATCTTCGCTGATGTAGCAGTCTGGAGATGTCCCGGTGTAGCGCCCCAAAAAAATAACTCTTATCTTACATGTACAATTTACCTGTCGACCGCTTGTACATTATTTCTTCTTGTTTTAATCGTCCTTACAACCGGCTGGACACTCGACAGCCTTGTACGTTCCCGCGCTCACGTGTACGCTCTCGCCTCGCTTCATCCGTCCGCTTCTTATTGTAGCCCATCGAATACAGTCCGCTGTGTCCGATCCCGATTGCCTTCTGATACCCGCGCGTACTTTCGCTCGCCATCTCGGTCCAGTATTAAATAGTCCTACACCGGTTTGCCTGATAAACTTCTAACTAAAATTGTTTAATTGTGCACCTAGTCGACCGGTGTGGTTTTTTGAACTGATTGCTGAGTTCGGATGGTTGGCTTGCTCATCGTCCTTTTCGCTTGGCGCACTTTTCGGATGCAACGCGCGACTGCCCTGGGGAAGGGCTACTTTTTGTATTGGCGGGAAAGGGTTTCGCTTCCATTGTCCTCGGTAACATCCAAGATATTTTGCGTGGCTGCAGAGTATATTCTTAATTTTGGTGGTATTGAGGTGTGGGAGATAAAAGATAATGCTATATGGAGTTGCTTCGTGAAAACGGTTATGATAAATTAAAGTGATGACTACAGGTGTAGTTGAAGTTCCCGGCATAATCGAAAGCAGGCAAGTGGTAAATACAAGTGAAGTGTGAACGGCTATTTTATGGGGCAAATAAGTGTTAATATAATTGCTTCATGTGTGTAAATGTTATGCTTGCCGTAACTTACTTGCTTGGATAAGGTGTATACATATATATTGACTAAATATTGTATTTTTGTATTCTTCGACATCGCGATGAATAAAAGCGAATTTTACAACTAATGAATCTTACCAACTACCATTTTTTGTACATACTCAAGCACAAAGCGACCTATACACATCTCTTTCAACTCCAGTTATGAAACAATCACCATTTAGCCTGGTGTACCGGAACACAAAGTCCCTCTAGGCCAATTTTTCATGTCAAAAATTAGCCACTTTCGACTGCCCTGTGTGCTGTGCACCCATCTTTCCCTAACTAGATCGTCAACGGTGGCGTTCTTTTAAAGCTAGGTAACAGGGAATCTTTCACTGAACCAATAAAATATTCCCTGCAACCGATCTGTCTTTTCGAATCATGTAGGACTAGTTTATACTAGTCCGAGACAGTGCGCGAAAGTAAGCGCGGATATCAGAAGGCAATGGGAGTCGGACACAGCGGATTGTATTCGATGGGCTACAATAAGAAGCTGACGGATGCAGCGAGGCAAGAGCGTACACGTGGGCGCGGGAACTTACAAGGCAGTTGTGTGTCGAGCCGGTTGTAAGATTAAAACAAGAAGGGGTAATGTACAATCGGTCAACAATTAAATTGTACACGAAAGACAGCAGTTATCTTTTAAGGCGTTACAGAGCTCCCCCTAGAAGGCTGAACATAGAAAGCCTTCAAAATCGAAAAGGACTGTTGAAACGAGGTTCGTAAGCGAAGTCGTGCAGAGTAAAGTTGAGTGTGCGTTCGTGTAAATTGAGGTTCGTCGGAAGTCGGAGTCCGCTGTGCCGTTTGTGATTTGTGATTTATTGATTGCAGGGCAGTGTGCATTTCGGCGAGCCTTTGGAGCGGGCTTGTTGGACTAGAAAAAAAACTGGCTAGTCCAGACAAAGGTCGACAGGACCTCAACCTCCGCTGCCGCCAAACGGTGCGCTTGGGAGTTGTGTGTCCCCCCGCCGCACCCCGCCCCGCGCCACAACGACCCTCGTCCCACAAAGAAAACAACCATGGTCCCACGGAGAAGCGAACCTTGTCCCGCGAAGAAGCGATCCTCGTCTTGCGGAGAAGCGACCCTCTCCCTGCGGAGAAACGATCAGTGTTCGCGTCGGGGTCGTCGAAAACATTCCTCGTGTGGGCCAGTTGATCGAAGGGGAGGGTTGGGGCAGGTAGAGACAAGAAAATAGAAAAACACGCGCAGAAAACGCAAAAAAGAACAAACGAATAATCTGTCTCTTTAAATATCTTTTGGTTTTTGAATATTTTTTCGAATAAGGTTTTTCGGAGGTTTCTGATATTTTTGTTTGTTTTCAAAACGTTAATCGAACAAAAACGGGACATATATATACCATGTCTACAAAGTTAAAAGTATTTACACTGTACATAGTCGGAGAAACGAACGGGCTTACGTACCTCCCGACCACGGCGATTGGTCGTGGGAGGCGGCGGACTAGGTTCGGAAGATGTCAGGACGGCTGAAGCTTGTGGACCGTGATCGTGGCCTGGTTGGACTTCATTAGCATGCGGAAAACTGGTATGGTGAGTTGTGACGTCGCACGAGGCACTACTAGACGAAGTGGGCTAGGTAGTTACTTCCATAAAGGCGGGTTTTAGACGGTCGATAGTGACGACTTCTTGTCGACCACCGCGGTCAGTAGTGTACGCCATACTCGCACAATGCAGCACCTTGAAAGGTCCTATGTACGGCGACTGAAGAGGCTGTCGAACACCGTCTGCGCGAAGAAGGACGTGTGAACACGTAGACAGCATCTCAAGCGCATACACTGGTGTCTTCTGCGATCGAGGAGCGGGTGGACGTAGCTCACGCATCTGGTGAGCCAATCGATTGGTGTAACTTCCGTAGTCAAAAGAGGAAGTAGACGGGTCTGGTGCTACCAGCTGTCCGGACAAACACAGTGTGTAACCGTAGACTAGCTACGCTGGTGTGGCGTCGAAATCGGTTTTAATCGTGTTTCCTAAGCCTAGGTGAACGAGGGGTATATCAATAAACATGGGCAGCATTACCGGCAATGGCTTTGGGAGACGTGCAAACCAGAGCTCCTTTATCCCTTATTCGCTCAAGAATAATGGACCAGCGATGCGCTGAAGTTTGCGGAGCAATGCCGACGGCTTGCGATCTCCAAGCTTGAGACCATTGAGCTGTTCAAATCGAGTTCGTGCCCTGGGCCGTAACTCTTTTAAAATCGCTTGCTTCATCGTTTCACACTTTGCCTCATTCGATGGGCAGAGTAGAATGTCCTCAATCAGCGTCACAATTGACGGAGGAAGGCGTGGGACGAGCTGATTGTACCTCGGACGGTCCGCCGTAATGCCCTTATTTTTTAGTTCGATCTCGAATACCTTGAACCAAACTGCTGGACGGTGTTGCATGAAACTTGGAACAGCCAAAGTAAGCACGTTTACGCTGTGAAACTACTTCCCTGCTAGCACGTGACGAAGAAAAAACTTCGTCATACTGAGCAAAAACTTCGTTTTACTTCGTCATTGGCGAGGCGCTGACGAACCTTTACGAAGAAATTTCTTCGTAAGGGTTCGTCATTGACGAAGGTAAACGAAGATTAACCTTCGTTTTGCTTCGTCATTTACGAACCAATAGAAAGGCAGTCCGTCGACTTTCTATGTAGATGCATGATTGGTCCAAAATTAATACAAAGGAAGTTGTTCGATCTGTGTGTTCGATCTGTAGTCTGTGGTTGGCTGTGTTGCCCGCGTACCCGCTTTTGCGGGGGCGTCCGGGAGTGGAAAGCTCACGGTAATCACGCATGTCATGGCTTCTACAGATATGCCGCTGTGGCATTTCTGCGTGGTCAGTTACACGCACGACGGTGTGTCCCAGGTGAGCACAATTAGCAGCAGGTGGCTGTTGGAAGACGGGCAGCATGGTATTTTGCCCAACCTTCCCCTCTTCGATTACCATCAGGCGGTGCGCGAGCACAGATACCCCATTGCGGATTGCAAAATGTTTCCAGTGACGGTGCTTCATCGTACAGGTAAGCACATTCATTTAATCAATTGCAGTGCATTTCGATGACGCACGCCGAGTGGAGAGGACGGTCGCGGATCAACCTCATGGGACGGACACGGATTGCACCATCCCCATGCAAACATCACCGAAACGAGTTATGTAATGCGCTACACAAGTGATAACGCAATGCATTGCAGACGCCTGCCAGCGAGACTACGTGATTCTGGGGATGATAATCCACCAACAAGGAAAAGACGCAGCAACGCTCCCGCAGCTGCAAGCTATGGGAGGTACCCTGATTTCTCGTTAGAGGAGTTGGCGCGGCCTAGCACGCCTACTCAGAATGTTGATGACGTCCAGGAGGATGCCGACATGCGTAAGTTTTTATTATATATGAAACCGTTACTGTGATGTCCCTTTTCCGCAGCAGGTCCCTGTAATGAAGTAGCCGTTCAAACGGTGGGTATCACATGCTGTAAGTCTTCACGTTCTGCGCTTTAGATACACGCCCTGGCAGGCAGGTGCCATGAAACAGACAAAAGGGTTATGCACACATTGCACGCTGTGGTCGGTATGGTTGAGCTTCTTACTTGCGACGAATTATCAGATTCACTTAGGCGCGTGGAGGAGACCCTTCACGTTTTGAAGGAGAGCCACGCGGCCATGAGCCAAGCCATGTGGACTGCAAGACCGATGCAACCAACGGAGTTATCCCTACCTACCTCCACCATTGATCAATGGTGGAGAAGAAAAATCTTCGTAAAGGTTCGTCAGCGCCTCGCCATTGACGAAGCAAAACGAAGTCTTTGCTCAGTCTGACGGAGATTTTTCTTCGTCGCGTGCTAGCAGGGGAGGAATTCCTGGAGTTGGAGGGGAAATTGGTGGACCCCGAACTCCGTCGAGAACTGGTAAGTCACCTTGGGGGATTTTGCATTCGATACATGCTGTACAGGGTAATGAACAGAGATGTCTTGCGGCAGCTAAACTTCGCCGGGGCCAACAATGCCATATCATTCAAGAAGACACACACATTCAGTGCGCTTCAGGGTAACTCAGATAACCTTTTCCACATTACCTTCCTTCACAGAAGTTATCGTTAACAGCTTTGGGTGCACGGGCAACGCCGTTGCGAACGGCGTTTGCAAATGGCTACAGATTACCCGGAGCAACATGCACCGACTTACATCTGCCACATCCAGCAGTCAGGATTCCCAGGTACTGTGCACTTTTAATGCCGTACGTAACCGTTTCCTTTACAGCCTTTGGAAGTTATAGATTTGGACAATCAATGCATCCGGGAACCACCGACAAACACGTAATTATTTCCCTGCATAGTAATATACATTTGTAACCCTTTCCTGGTGTGCTTCAATTGTTGTCCGGGATTTCCGCGTATAGTATACCATGTCACCGTCTCGGCGCGTATTGTGACTATGGCTTCGGACTACTGTGTGACTGGAAGGAAGGCACTTCAGGCCATGCTCTTTTATTTATCAAAAGCCAGGGAAAACTACGTTGCGCGGTTTCATATTTCGCAGTAGCTGAAAACCTACGCTCGTTCCCACTTCCATTAATATGTCTGCCAGCGTTGGCAATGGTGTGGGATTGAATGCCTCACCAAATCGGTATTTGCTCCCTGGTCATTTCGTTACCTAGTCGGACGGGGAGAAGGGAAATCCGGCTGCAAATACGCAACGGGTAAGTGGACACTGTACTCTTCACAGCAGTCTGCTTATGTATTGTTATCAATTACTGTGCGTCGCCATTTTTTATAACGTTCACTGGGCAGTGCACGGCAAACGTACGACCGTTCCCGGTAGGTTATGAATGGGAACCGTTAGACACTAATAGCTTCATAGCGATTAGTTAGAAGCATTTCGCCTAGGCCATAAGGGGAAACCTCTTCCTGTAGGCTTCGCGAAAGCCTTCGTATTTACTAAGGAAAACCTTCGTATTGGTTCGTCAATACGGGGAACGACGTTCGTACATACTAAGAAAAATCTCCGTATTGCTTCGTAATTACGGAGCGCAGCCTTCATATTTACTAAGAAAAACCTCGTATATACTAAGAAAAGGCTCCGTATTGCTTCGTATTTACGAAGAGCAGCCTTCGTATTTACTAAGAAAAACCTTCGTATTGACTAAGGAAAACCTTCGTATTCGCTTCGTCATTACGGATGCTGCGCTTCGTATTGACGGAGAAAAATCTTCGTTTACCTCCGTAAGTGCGGTCCGTCTGTCATGTGATTGGTTGCGTATGCCGTACGCAATCACGTGCGCGCCATAAACTGTACAAGCCATTAGCGGACAACCACCTTCGTATTCCTCGTGTCACTCAGCGGCAAGCACTAAGCTTTTACGAAGCGAAATCTCAGTTTACCTTCGTAAAACCTTCGTATACCTTCGTACTGTGTCCGGACGCGTATGACTAAGAAAAACTTCGTATACCTCCGTATTTGCTAGCAGGGTTAGATGCCATTCTCGAAATGTGAGTCGAAAGATAAAGAATGAACAAAGTACGATAAAAGTACCAAAATTACGCAAGAAACAAATGAATACAGGTATATGGTCGAGGAAAAGGAACGAACTTGTCAAAAAATACAAACGAGAAAGAAGTTGAGTTCGCGCGTGCGAATCGGGGTCACAAATTTGTAGGACTAGTTAATACTAGTCCGAGACAGTGCGCGAAATTAAGCGCGGATATCAGAAGGCAATGGGAGTCGGACACAGCGGATTGTATTCGATGGGCTACAATAAGAAGCGGACGGATGAAGCGAGGCGAGAGCGTACACGTGGGCGCGGGAACTTACAAGGCAGTTGTGTGTCGAGCCGGTTGTAAGATTAAAACAAGAAGGGGTAATGTACAATCGGTCAACAATTAAATTGTACACGAAAGATAGCAGTTATCTTTTAGGGCGCTACAATCGCCTGCCGGACTCCAGCTACCTGCTGCTCACTAAACTGGGGACGTAAAAGTGGTCTACGTCTTTCCCCTGCTAATAAAATAGACGCAATGAATATTAGTTGTGAGAATTTTAAAGCACTTTAACAGTGGGGCGACCACTGACAAATGACGTCCTCAAGTCAAAAATCTAGTGTCCTGAGCTACGAATTTCCTTTACCTGCTGAATACCTAACAAGAAAAGGTATCACTACCAAACAGAACGCCATGACAACAAATCTTAGCTTGCGCTACTCCATGAGCCTGAACTTTGCTCAGCAAGTTCATTATAAAGTAAAAAGTATAAGGGGATTATCTTTACACGTACGCCGTTACCTAAAAACCACAGCTGCAAGGCTAGAACTTTATAAGAGCCACGTCCGAACACATCTGTAAAATTGCTAGTTTATATGCAACAACCTACGGAAGTCGGATCCTGTTCTGCTTTAGGAATATGTTGACTCCATCACAACCATCCATTTTTAGCGAAAAAGAATAATGGCTTTAGTCCTAGACCATTATTCAGGTGCGAATAACTCCTAAACTACTGTACGGATTGCATTTTTTACTTTTAACGTAAGCAACGGTTAAAACTTGCCCTGAGCGGCTTATTTTGGTGCAATGTTACGCAATAATCTAGTCTTAGAAATGGTTTTCTTTTCTGAGATTTACTCAGGTTGAAAGTTGGGAGTGGCTAATTTTTGACATGAAAAATTGGCCTAGTGGGACTTTGTGTTGGGTACACCAAGCTAAATGGTGATTGTTTCATAACTGGAGTTGAAAGAGATGTGTATGTGTCGCTTTGTGCGTAAGTATGCACAAGAACTGGTGGTTGATAAGATTTATTAGTTGTTAATTTCGAATTTTTTTATCGCGATTTCAAAAAATACAATAATCTAAGCAAGTAAGTTACTTTAACCAGCAGCTTCATGCAAGCATAACATTTACGTGCATGAAACAATTGTATTAACACTTATTTTCTGCATAAAACGTCCGTTCACACTTCACTTGTATTTACCATTTGCCTGCTTTCGATAATGCCGTGACGTTCAACTACACTTGTAGTCATCACTTTAATTTATCATAACCGTTTTCACGAAGCAAATCCATATAGCATTATCTTTTATCTCCCACACCTTAATTCCACAAAAATTAAGAATATACTCTGCAGCCACGCAAAATATCTTGGATGTTACCGAGGACAATGGAAGCGAAACCCTTTCCCGCCAATTCAGAAATTAGCCCTTCTCTCGAAAGTTGGCGCGAGAAATCAAATGCAGCGCGAAAAAATTTGGGTCATATTTTTTTCAATTGTAATGTTCTAGTAATATACACCATCTTATTATGTTTTCTCACCAACCGGTTTTACTTTTATCTGCAGATTAAGTAATTATTTTTACCCTTTTCGTATTCCTTATAATTCCGCCTTTCTTATTACTTCCATGTGCGCATTAATAAATTTGGCGACTAAGCGGGCCAAACGAATCCAAAGAATTTATATTGGTTGTGGTGAATTGGATACCGTACAAAAGCAAACCTGCACAATATCTGCTCTGCGCAACTTTCACATCAAAGGAAATCATGGAGCTCAATGTCACCCGAAGGAACCAGAATCATTACAGGGTGTGCGCCTGGGACCCCATCAGCTGTACACCAAACAATGCCAATACATTCGTAATTGCTAACGCGGAACATACACTCACATTTTACCTACCCCTATGCAAGCGAATAAGATTAATGTACAGCTTGGTCGGATATCTTAAGGGTGCAGCCTCCAGCCAGTCAAGCAATATACCTTTTATTTAGTTATAGTGCAAGGGTGCGACCAAGTCGACAGAAACTTGAGCGTAAAGATAGCTAGGAGCTTAAAGCTGCCAAGGCGGCTTTTGGTGAGTCTGTTCACCTTGGCGTGCAGACAACCTAGGCCTGTGCGTGCCGAAATGCAAACATGGCAGTTGACGTTGCGTCATGCGAAGCGTTCGATCATGAACGTTTGCGAAACACGTGTGTCGGGATACGAGGTTGTTTAGGGCGTAGAAAAATATCAAATAATTAAATAAGTAGTTTATGCTTGAGTTCATTGAGGCACACCAACTCAGGCGTGATCAAGGTTGTACAGGCGATTATGGTTCGCAGCAGGCACGTTGCACTGCATGAAGTGGGTACTACCGCATTATAAAGGAAGTACTGAATGGGAATATATACTGGTCGGTATCCGAAGAGTTAGTGATTTAGCGCCAGACTGGGTTCAGCTGGTTGATGTATAGATTAGCAGTAACAGCGTAATATATGGCGTAGTGAAGGAAAGTACCGACAAGGAAGGAACCTCTTATTATGCGCAGCAACGAATGTGTGCATGTGGTGAAACGACACGCTGGTTAATTTGCACGGATGAACTGGTGGGTAGTGACTTTAGTTAGTGGCGAGTCACATCCGCCAAGTTGCAGTGTTGGTAAAGGAACATGTGTGTTTTTAAAAACAGTACGCTTGCCAAACGAAAAGCTACCACGTCCTGGAACCTTGCGGTCGATCCGTTAGAACGGTAAGGTGGGATTGGCAACGTGGCTACAGTCAGATTGTTCAATCGGTCGTATGACCTCCGGAATTTTTGCCTTGACTAACCGAAGTGCTTAGTCAATGTCCGCCATTACTTGTTGAGTCCGGTCGAAACTAAAATGTCCAGGAGAATCTGGTGGAGAATGGTGTTGATGAGTGAGGATTTCGGAGGATGGAGTTTGATTTTTCTGTTGTGGTATACTGGTCCTGTCTTGAAATCATTGTGTCCAGGTGCCGCACTAAACAAATCAGGTGGGGAGTGCAGTTGCTCCTTATGGCCAAATTGATCCCAGTTCAGGGGAAGTTGCAATCCTTAATTCCAATATTGAATCCACAAGAATTTCGCATTAATATTTTTGCAGATCATGGGTAGAATTCTGAGAGTAACATGGCTGAAACCCAGTGTACAGGCTATGTAAAGAATAGTTGGTCCACCGAAGGCCACCAGAGTTCCTCCACAAATAAGGTAACTTCGGTTGAACAGGTTTTCATATCCAAGTAATGACATTAAGGTATGCCCTCAGCAAAGTTCCTAGAGGTAGAATATAACTGTACTTGCAAAAAGGAATGGCGCCGAACGTACTTGTTCAAAATCCAGGTAAAGGCAGTACGTTAAGCTAAGCCATCTCCACAGAAGCATCTGTCATACACTGATGAACAAGGGATTCATGTGACGATGTAAAGCCAGGTGAGCAAGTGATGGCAAGGTGCTTGCGATATGAGGTAAGCCAGATCGTTTAGACCCCTGCAATCCGCAGCACTCCAAAAAGCAAGAGGATGATCCATTTAGAATATTTGTAGAATCGTCTGAAGAACGATGTGCCCTTGAAGTCCAGGAGCGTAGACCAACTGTTTCAAATCAGCTGGCTGTTGAGGATGGAAAAGCCCGTGCCAGATGATGAACCGTCGATCGTCGGCCGACGTACTTGTGGATATCTCGGGTAAATGAGCATCAAACAGGTAGCGGTGAATTATTCCACCCTGCGAAATTTGGACTGCTTTAGATAGACCAGAGACCGGCGGACATTATTCTACAAGTAGTTCCGTTTAACGGCAAATTGCAGGAGCAAATTTATGCCGTAAGTGACCGCTAAACCTACAGTTAAACCCCATAAACCAGCTGTGGGCGATTAGGTGATTTGCCCGTGTGCGCCTCCATAAATAAATGAATAATTAAATAACTATTTTATTCTTGACAAAGCGAGCCACGCCTTTTGGGCACGATCAGCATACTGCAATATTGTACATGATAGCATGATTAGCAGCACAAAGAGCGGGAGTAGTACAGATGGAGTCAGTAGTGTGGGCTGACATGGCCAAAAGGTTTACGAAGTCTATGTCCACAGAATGCGAGATGTAGAGATAAGAATTAGCTCACTAATGTGGAGTGTGTTGATGTGGAACTAGTCTGATGAGGTTGTGTACACAGGGCGAGTCAGGTGAGTGAAGCATGACGGGTTTCATGAAGAAAGGACAGCGAACGGACGATGCGCCAGCGTACAATACGTCTGTTAGATAGTTCAGAGCATAGAGGCTAAGACACAGCGACGCGCAGATAATCAAATTATGCTAGGGTGCTAATGGGATATTACAAAGGTAGCTGGAGCTGGGAAAAGCCGGTGAGAGAGCTGAACTACAATTAGTTAGTTGTTACAGACAAGTGACAGCTGGGCATCTATCAAGGAGCGGCAGCGCGCTGACCTGATGCGATAAGGAAGGCCGCAAGAAGAGAGCTAAACATGGTTGAATGAAGAAGGAAAGCAAACATGAGGAATGCAAGCCTACAGTACGTTGAATGAGGGAGCCACATCACCTGAAGAGAGCTGAAGAGAGCTAAAACAGATTGAATGAAGAATGGACAGCAAAAAGGAAGAATGCATACTAAGGTAGACTGAGCCGGAAAAAGCTGACGAGAGAAGTGGACTACAATATAAATAAATAAATCTTTTATTCTCAACAAGGTGAGGCACGCATTTACAGGCATGATCATTTTGACATAACGATGCATGATCATTAATGTGCAAAAATCCGATGTTTGCCATAGCAGATTGTGTTTGTGTAGGGGGTATGTATGTATGTCATTGTGTGTGTATGTGTATGTAGCTGTTTATTTTGTGCTTGTAGTTGTGCTGCTCCAATATTCAATGTTTGATATCGTCATCAATAAGCGAGTAAGAGATTGGTGTCCGTGGGTTGGATAGAATTATCCGAATATTAACGGGGCAGTGACTTTATTTTGTGACGAGCCACGACCGCCACGTCACAGTGTTGTTGAGCAGACATTTGTGGCTTTTTATAGGGAGAACGCTTGCCAGGCGAAACTTATCACGTCCTGGAACACTGCCGCCGAACTATTTGCTGGAACGGGTTAACTTACGAACCACCCAGTTTACACCACGAGGAGGTTGTTCGGCTAGCCAGCCTTAGTGTCTTAGACGTTGCAGCTGGTATTGGTTAAATGAACGTCTAAAAATGGGGCTAGGGAGTGGCTGCACAACTCACTTCTTTTCTTCTGTGGAATATTTGAGCGGAATTTGAGATTTTGTTCCGAGAACGGATGGTCCCATCCAAGGTAAATTGCAGTATTCTCCATCGCCTGCTTTACTGTAATCGTGGCACCCGGGGATTGCCAAGTAAAAATGAAAATAGAGAAGAGAAAAATTTATAGAATACATCATGTTCAACAGTTACAGTGAAATAAAGGAATAGCAGATGTTCGCTTATTTTGTTATTTCATTATCCACTGTTTTTATCTACCTTTAGGGCCCCAATACAAATTTTTGGCAAACAAGCGTTAAAAAGTTTGCTGTTAAAACGTTTCTGTTTCGTAATAATGATGTGATAAGATTTCTTTTCCATCCTCCGCAGGGCGTCTTACATGCATACACAAAATACCTTCTCAAGTTAAATTTTGCTTGCAACTGGAACGATAAGAGAAATGCTTGAGTGTTCCAGCTTGAGTGGATCGTTTAGCCAAGGATTGTTAAAGTGCACAGGGTTCTTTATGGACCTAAAACAAAACGCCCGTGTCGCACCTGGCCTACCAGTCAATGCTCACACTTTCTGCCCTAGGAGTTCCTGCTGTGGCAGTCACATGAATTAAGCAAAGGATAGGAAGATAAATCGAAGGTACAGAGTAATGGTCACCAGAAATAAGAAGCTAATACCAATGCATAAAGAAAACTAAAGAAAAGCTTATCAAACCATGAAGATGCGAGATACTCAGGAAAAGGGAACATTTTCGTGCTATCACCCAACAGCGCCAATTTGCTGCTCAAACCCTTTGACCGTAGAGTCCCTGATAACACTTGCAGGAAGAGTGTTCCGGCGCTCGAAGACTGGGCGTGACAGCCGGATTTTTCCATAATCCGATGGGACCTCGGTTTGTTCAGCTTCAATGAAGGACCGCGGAGAGTAGACAACCTAGCGGTGTTGAATAGCCAAGATAAATCTGGACCAACCGTCCCATTTAAGATAAAGTAGTTTAAGATTAGGTCTCCTCTAAGCTTTCGGTAGTGCATGGAATGCATTACCAAACTACCTAGACGTATGAGGTACGTCCGTCCCCGTGATCACTCGACAAACCTAGTACCCACACATACAAGCACCTCTCGCCCCATATTGGCCCGGAGGAGACATGGCGGCCAAGGCTGGACGCGTTATCCCAGATTAGACCGAACGAAAGCCGAGCCCTCTCACGCAAAGCTGCCGTCCGTCAAGACGCCGAAAAACGCCGAATTAACTAAAACTTAAGCAAACTTCTGCTTGCCACCTTCTTCCGGTTGTCGTTGAAGTGTAAAGCAGAATAGTGTAAGACGCCTAGAGCAATCTGGCTAGGTACACGGGGTGATCGAGCCCACGGAGCAGGTACTTCGCAGGAGGACAACCTCCTCCAATTAGAAGAATGAAGCACTGTCTGAGTTATGAACAGTAACCATAAAGTAGACCAGTCCCAAAGTGTATCCAAGGCTCGCTGCATAGCTTCGAAACTCCCAAAATCATCGAACATCTTGTACAGCTTCAGGTCATCACCAAATAACAGCTATAGTACCACAAGCTACACGAGTAGGTCATTCATATAGAAAACAGCAAGGCTCCAAGGACCGAGCCCAGCGGTGTGCCACTGAGGACCGACTGACTAAACAATAGACCGCATCCTATCTGCACACAGTTCGTTACCATCCAATAAGGCAGGCAACCAATGAAGGATGCGGCCAGCTACTCGCAGAAAGTCCTTTTGCGCAAGCCTTCAAATGTGCTACGTGGTCAAATGCCTTTAAAAGTCGACGGAACACACGTTTAACGAGTGGTCGTCATTCACTACAGCCTCCCAAGTTTCGAGAGCCAGCAGCATATTCGTCAGACCAGGAAATCCTTTCCGGAATCCGCACACACAAATATGTTCCCGCATAAAGTAACCACAGCGAGTACGTCACTCATTTTACTATCAACCTACGACATGTCTCAAGTGTTCTCGACCTGGTAGCGATTACTCTGCCCCGAATCCGTTAGATCAGATTATTATGCTGGCCCGAACCCGGGCTAACCGCTATGGCTGCAACACAACAAGCTGATGACGAAATAGACAAGCCTTGACGTCGCCACGCAGGACCAAAGGAACTTAAGTCCTTGGCGAGCTAGTGCAAAAGGTGGACAATAGTAGTTTCCTATGCGAAAGGCAACGCCCTTTGCCTCGGATAAAAATTACCGGCCAACCTATTTACCCCAACGATGCCGGATTAGCTAACAGTGTTGTAGTTAGGGACTTTGAAGTAGCTACTCAGCGTCGCTTAACTTCGGAGAGCATGAGAGCTACAGAAGCGCAAAAGCCAGGTCACTAAATGGACGCACTTTTAACTCGATGTTGATCACGAAATCTAGGCTCAGTCTATATATAAGCTGCGCCCGGCCCATGTTAGCATTCTGCACTATTGTGCTCTGTAAAGCAAAAATGTGTGACAGAATAGTGACGGAACAGTTCTAGCGTTCATTCGCCAAAAGGTTACTAACATGATACTTACCTATTGCAGGTGTTCGTTGCCTAAGCTGGAGCCCTTGTGGCTACGTAGCCTGAACACAAGCATTTCGTTCCTGTTTCAACTTATCCACAGTTACATAACTAAATAAATTTTTCTATTCTCGGTGTTAAACAAGCTACGCCAAAGAGGTAAGTTCACATATATACAAGAAAATCTGTGCGATCAAAAGTGGTCAAGTTTAGCCTTGACGGTGGAAAGTGTAAGAAGTGATCTAAAGTTTTTCTAACTGTTCGACCCCACAGTTGAGACAGGTTGTTAATGCAAAGTTAAAAAGTTTGATAATCACGTTATGTGCTACTGGAAGTTGTTCCAATTAACTGTACCGACCTGAAGCAGATCGCTGCGCTGCTGTTCGCACTCAGCTGTTATCAAGTTACTATCCTTAAGCGAATGGAGCGCTCTCCTGTGGCCGCGTGGTGTTTCAAACCAGTTTATTCAAGCGGTGTTCTTTGCATGGGTACTTATCGAGGTAGCTGATTATGGAACCTTTAACTGTTGAAGTATTGCTGCAGTCCAGTTCGGCTCTTAAATTCTAGGATACACACAAGAGCCCGGTGGTCACGAATACTCTATGTGGAGTAAGCTGTTCTTTTTCAAGCTACCACGTGCCCATAGCACTGTATGAGACAATCTTTTCCTGCCCATGAAGGCCGACGCGAAGAATAAGTTACCAGTGTCAATAGAAGCGTCGAAGTCTACCGCTCAATTTCGCACTGCTCTACATAGTTTTCTCGCAGTTTTACCATAGCAGAACTACTAAATACCAACACAAATGAAGACGATTTATGGGAATATGGGCCAGTCTACTTCTGGACAACGCTGTTAGAAATTTGCTTCCACCTATCTATCTAACCTCCGCCCATATCTCTTCTGTACGCCTGACCTGACGCTGCCTAAGAAATTTGACCCGAACGAACCAGAGCGACTAAACGACGTAAGGCATAGCGCAGTGAACCAACTTCCCACTTGACACTTCCATAGATATAGCGTAACCGTGGTGCCGAGCTGACCATCGGTGTATTATCCTTTTACCATGACACTCTTCTTCCTATGTCCCGTCTCAATGCGATCTGCCGGAACTCTACCTCGCATCTCTGAAGTAGGGTTGTTACATGTCCTTCTAACTTCCGGACCTGTTTAGTAATTCCTTTCCCTTTGCATTCTACACTTACATTGTAGCTAAAGCTTAAACACGGTATGCTATCGCTCTGCGTAGTCTATCCATGTAAGGTAACGCTCCCTAGGTAAGTTTGGCATAATTAGCTACATATGTCCCAGTTGCTCACACACTCCCCTTCAAGCAAGCCAAATAAATTAGCCGGTTGCAACTACCCGTTCAATACCGTTGCATGTTGTCGCTATTCCCCAGCTTTTCAGCCGAGACGTTGGTGTACCACAACTCATTATGACCCTCTCTGAATCACGTGTTTTCTCCGCTTTGCTTGTCTGCAACTAGCTATTCATCGCACATTCCTTCACTTCCATTTCTGACTAATGATAGGAATGGCTCCCAACATAACTCGAAGTAGGCTTCTCACGCCCCTGTCCAGCTTTTGAACCTGTGCATTAATTAACTCTCCTCTAGCACGCTTAACCTACGCTGGCGCTGGAGCGTCAACACGGCCTGCTGTTGCCCTGATGGACCTCCCCAAACTTTGCTTTACAGCTACGTTTCATTTCCTCAACGACTAGATTCTCGTCACAAACGCATTCTTCACTTCCGGCAACCCGTCCAATGGGCTTGATTTGGTGCTTAGAAATGTGCGTCCCTTAGTTTGCCTACCTTGCAATGATGTCCGTTTGAACTCTATTTGCGACTTTTGGCTTTCATTAACATGGAAGCAACAGTAAACTATGCCGGGTCATGGGTTATCCTTTCATAGCACTGCCCCTAGTCCAAATAGATTACTTAACTAATTAAGGCGGCTGCTGCAGCGGATGAACTTCTCCACAATACTCCATAATGTCCGCGCCAAAACGCCACTTTAGTCACTTGCATTTTTGTAGCAAATAATGTGCAACGCAGCCAGTTATGGCCCTCTTTAAATCCTTGCTTTCTTCGCTTTCCAGGTCCGCAACCCCTAGCTAATCACTGTATTTTGCATCATTGTCATTTCCAAACAATGGTTCAATTGGTTCAGCAATGTAGATTTAAAGTAGTCTCATTACATCTCTGTTTAGCTTCCAAACTGGTTCATTACGTTTTCTCTTCTAGCACCCTCACTTACATTGTAGCTAGTGCGACACGGCTGTCTGCAGCTGCACTGATGGACTTCACAAAACCTTGCGTAAAAGACACTTTCCGTCTCCCCGACGATTACGTTCTCCGCACTTAACAATTTTTCATTACTTCCGACGACCGGTTCAACTAGCTTATGTTTATGACTGTACCTGTGCGTCCTTTTGATTTGTATTTCCTGCTATGCGCACCGCCTGAACTGTACTGTGACGTTTGACTTACCTTGACGTGAAGGCAACAGTGTACTATACCGGCTTATTAACTATCTTTCCACAGTACTGCCATCACGGCCGAGTGGACTGCTTGCATAATTACGGTCGGTGCTGCTGACAAACTAACAAACTGTTCTTCCTGATTTCCATTTACGAGACCTGCAACGATAGACGAAATACATTGATCT